GCCTTCAGGGGCTGCATTGATGTGATGGGGCTTCTGCATATTAAGCACGAGTAAAGCGGTCATTGCTTGAATCTAAAAGCAAGGAATTATTAAAACAATAACTGGGGCCGTTCACAGGGTTCTTCCGAAACAATACCAAATTTTAAAAAAATAAAAAAATAATTGTTAAGGCCAAGACTACGTAGGTTTATAATCAGATAATTTCTAGTGCTTCAATTTGGGATTGTGGCCTTTTAAGTTGGTGCATACCAACATAGAAAAAGAAAATGTCGGAAAAAAAATACACCTGCTTTCAGGTAAACAAGAAAAGCAGTTGTGCAGATCTTATAATAAAGTATACTGTTTTATACAGCATTTGTATATGTAACAGTCGAGAAAACTTGGAAAATAATGCTGAACTGAGTGACGAATACATCGGTGATACCTTCACGAATGTGGCCTTATACGGTCCTTCTGCTCGAGGGACCCCGAGTCAAATCTCAGCCGAGATTCAAGGCGGAGCAAAAGTGTTGATCAAACGAGCTCTCGTGCGTCTTTGCGTCACGCCAACAGCTGCTTTAGGTTTAGGTTACTTGTTAAGTTTCAAATTTTTGAAGACAAAAAAAGAAACACACACACTAGTCAACTGATGTAACGTTGAATCACACCCGTGACCTCTTCAAGCCTGGTTCTATAGGACTATGTTTTCGGGTTCACAGAATCGGCTACACCCATGGAACTTATTTATAACTGTTGTGGAGACGTTGGAAATTTTTGTACCCGACTGTGATATTATGTGGTTGGTATGGGATTACAAATATGATGACATGTTGCATAATATCAACTCCATTTGGGGTGGGTCCAGACAACAAGAAAGATAAGGACGAGAAAACTCGAAAGATACGGTACGCACCCAAGGCAAAATGTGGAGAGTTCATACATTCCTTTGGATCCTCCAATGACATCTACTATTCATAAAGACGAGATCACATTTCAAGCTACCGGTGACATTGATAGTTTAGGGAAACGTACGGACAGGCGAGATCGTCTCATTAATATATATCTTTCGCTAAATACAGGTTTCTCATTATTATTATTAATTTGTACGTCTGTGTTTTGGCCAGTTGAGACTTTGATAAAAGTCAGTGCCTACTAAATAGCTCGTATATTAATACATAATATAATTTAGTTTATTTTTTTTTAAAGAAACATAGTGAAATAATGACTACATTATTTATAGGCGGAATAACATTAATTTGAAAATACGATTCAAGATCAACATGATAGATTAATTTATGAATGAACAATCAGGGCGCTGCAACAATGTTTCATAATTAAATTTATCTCAAATTTTCACCACAATCAAAAGATGCATATTGAGAAAATGTCAAATTTTCATCACAAACAAAATATAAACATTGAGAAAAAGTCAAATGTTCATCACAAACAAAAGATGCACATTGAGAACAACTCAAATTTTCACCACAAACAAAAAATGCACATTGAGAAATTGTCACATTTTCACAACAAACAAAAGATGCACATTGAGAAATTGTCACATTTTCACAACAAACAAAAGATGCACATTGAGAAATTGTCACATTTTCACCACAAACAAAAAATGCACATTGAGAAATTGTCACATTTTCACAACAAACAAAAGATGCACATTGATAAATTGTCACATTTTCACAACAAACAAAAGATGCACAATGAGGAAAAGTTACACTTTCAGCCATGGAAACAATGTTGTTGTAGTATCATTCCCAGGTAGTCATTTATAATGTTTGTCTGATAGCTCTTCTATCCTCTATTAGTTTAATTAGATAACTATTTACAATATTGGTTTGCCTATAGACTTAAGAGTATCGTTATCATATTTTAATTGAAGGGAGTAAAACCTTGTCGAGTGTTAGAATGAAAAGCCCTATTGATATTAAATGCTATATTCTTAAAGGGAAAATCGTTGCTACCTCAGAGAAAAGACAGCATAGAATGAAACAACCCCTAACAACAAAGTTGTTCCGTATCAATCCTTTATAAAATGTACTATCCAGCAATTGGGGGGTGGGTTAAAAATTGGACAAAACATGCATACAGGTAACGCCCTTATAAGAATCCTAATTAGTGCTCCCCCCTTCCAAATTGTGTTCACGCCCATCAACCAGTGATTATTTCAGAAATGTTCCCCCACGCAGGGGGGGGGGGGCACTTCAGATTTTTTCGGGGAGGGGGGGTAGTGCCTAGTTGATTTATTGTTGGACATATTTTTGCTCGGGGGGGGCACTTGGCTTTCCCGAAAGGTGGGGGGGTAGTGCCCTCCCGGAGATATAGATGAAAGAAACCCAGCCCTCAACTTTGAGAATTCTCTGATGTCTAATGTCCCATCCGCCTTATTGCACCTACCATTTGAGATAAACAAAAGAAATTATTACACACTTGCGACATTTTAAAGAATTTCATTCAGCAAAGTTATCGGGAATTTCATTTCGTGAAATCAGTTGCTTCGTATGTCCTTCAGCTTAAACTTGAAAAAAAACAAGAAAAAATTGATTTTTGTGCGTTTGGGCTGAAAATTTGACAGAATCTGTTGCCATCGGCAATGAGTCTACGTGCTAAGTCTCAGCTCGATAGGCTGACGCGAAGTCGGTCAATTAGCCTTCCGAAGATTTTTGCCACAAACCCAGAAAGAAATACACAAACACAAGCGTATTTCATAGTAAGGATCTAAAAATAATTGTAGGCTGCATCTTTGTTATTAGATCACAGCTATCTCGTGTAAATTTTAAAAAAATTAAAATAAATTCAATTCAACTCGGCAGTGCAGGGCTCTTACTAGTCTCACTCTTGCTTTTTTTATTTTTTCTAGCTGTAAACCATTTTGCTCAAAAGATGGACTAGTCTTATTACATTATTTGATTCGTTTCAGTCATATCATAATGTGGGATAGATGACGTGCGAACAAATAACATTATAACTTCTTAAGTACTGAAGTTGATAACCTCAGACTGATGGACATTTTTCATCCCCATGAATGTTGGATAAGAAACTAATCACTGTGAGAAAACAGTTATTCATTTAAAATACAAATTGTATGTTTTTTGTGTGGTTAAATTGGGGCACAAAAAGTTTCTTTGATTAAGTGGAGAGTCTTTGTCTCTGCCATTAAGTGATATACCATCACCGCCTCTGTCAATGAGTGATATACCGTTTACCATTCTCTCTTTCAAATTGTGATTTCAAAAAATTTCTTAACCTAAAAAATATATGTTTAATTTATCTTTTGAAAAAAGTTAATTAAAAAAAAAAACTTGGGTTTTAAAGCCTGTTTCATAACACTTTCTTATCATGAGTAAATAATCCTAGTTCAATTTGTTTTAATGTTAAATGGGTCCATTTCAACTGCAGGGCTTTTGTGTGTGTGTGTGAAGGAATGGTGTTTGGAACGTTACCTGAGGAATGGTGTTTGGAACGTTTCCTGAGGAATGGTGTCTGGAACGCTCCCTGAGGAATGGTGTTTGTAACGTTTCCTGAGGAATGGTGTTTGGAATGTTCCCTGAGGAATGGTGTTTGGAATGTTCCCGAGGAATGGTGTTTGGAACGTTTCCTGAGGAATGGTGTTTGGAACGTTTCCTGGCAAAATAAATGGTAGAGATGAAGACTTGATAAAATTTGTGACATTTGACATGTAACACACAATCTGGGCCCTTTTCTTCACCAAAATGACCACCGGTCAGTTATAATATTCATAATTCATATATCTAAATATACAACATATACATGTACTTAAGGTGATAGAACCCTGTACATTCTTTTGAAACCAGTAACAGGGTTCTTGTTACCATTGGTGCACATGTTATGCTGTTATTCGTTGGCTATGTCAACCCACTGCCGCTTTCGGGTCAATCGATAAAATAAATGTGAGCAGCTTAAGTGCTCACCTGGAGTTAATTAAATAGGTTAGGATTTAGGTGTCTTTGTAAGATTCATCCAAGCCAAAATGTCACTTCAACATAATAATAAAGTTCATTTCAAAAACACGCTTCATCCCCAAAGGCTCGAAGCGCGGTACAAAGTCAACAAAAAACATATCTATAATTCACCACATTTAAAACAAACACAACACTACAAAAACTAATTACAAGCATACAATATCAAAGTCTTTCTAGCCATTTCAACCCGGAGCAACACAGCAACACATGGAAAATAAGGTAGACAATCATCCCAGAAGGTATTTGCGAAATAGATGTGTCTTTAGATCTGTTTTAAAGGACTCCAGTGTCTGGTTGTTTCTAAGATCGACAGGAAGGTATAATAATACCATCGCTGTGTAGCCTTTGCAACTAGTGAAGTATCCCCTTCAAAACCAGGTACAGTTACATCGCGAACCCCTCTTCTCAAACATAGGAACCAGAATGATCAATACATTGATCGTGGGCCCTCAAAATATAGAAGAAGAAGAAACAGCTATTTTTTTTAAGCCAAACTAGGAACAGACCACATCCAAATGCATTCACCGACTTAAACTTATACAGATGAAAGACCTCATACATTGCAGTTGGGATAGATTTTGAATTTTAGAGTTCTTTGTTTCCAACAGCAGTGTGAGACTGAAGAAAGCCATGCCCATGTGATGAAATGTTCACTCTTCCAAGACTATGAGTCCCACCGCTATTACTATCTATCCTATTTTCTTTCACACTACCAGACCTGTTTACCCCGAACTCTTAAAATCATACAATATCATCACAGAATCGCTCAATAAATTATCTTCATAGTAAAAAAATAAACATTCAGTATATATAATGTATACACCTCAAAATCGTACATTGTACGCCAAAATCGTAAGAGTAAACAGGTCTGCACTACCATGCTTTCATGATGTCATCTTAAATATGCTTTCTTTGCCAACACAATATTTACTTCAACTCTAAAGTCTATGTCAAATACAACAATTTCTTTGAGAGCTTCCAACAACAGAATGAAAACAATTATAATACACAATTCAACAAGCCATTGTATGCATAAGGAAGATTTATTAATCAAATAACAAAATATATACATGTAAACAACAAACATCACAGCCTCAAATAGTGACATCTCGAGAATCAGCTGTAGATTTTTGAGACCAAGTATATCCAATTCTACATTTGTTATACTCTGTAATTTTTATGATACCATTCAAGAAAAAACCCTAGTCAAATTATTTTTGTTTAAAGAACAAAGGGAAAAAGAATTTGACCATCAGAAAATAATAATTTATGTTCTGTGTTTTAAGATAGTTATCTCAGTATAAGGACAAAACAATTCTGCTCTGGGTAATTAGTAATAGGAAGGGAAATAATAATTTAAAAAAAAAACAAGCTTCCAAGGGTAGACAACTGATCTTTTTACACTGAGATGAGTAAAATCTATAAATCAAATTTGAAACCATAAAGGTAAAATTATAATTATGAAGACAGAGTTAAATTTCCCATGTCATGAAGTTGTAGTTGATATTACAGGTGATTAGCCACAGACACCACTTGTTATGTAGAGTAAAGCTTGATACAAAAAGAAATTATAACTTTTCTCTTGAGTTGATAGTACCTTCGAGGAAACGATGAACTGAGCTTTCAATAAGTATTTAAAACCCCACAAATAATTTATAAAATAAAAAAAAAAAAAATCAAGTCAATGAGCCCCAAGCTTACATAATCCTACAAATTATTACAATAAGATTTATAAAAAAATTACTGAAAATGAATTATTGTGATTATAGGGTTTCTATGGTGCCAGGACTCCCTATAATTAGACATAAGAAATCATAATTACTTGGACTAAATAAAAAAAAAATAAATGTCAGAAAAAAATGTAGTTAACTAAAGAAAACTTTGAAAATAAATTAGAAACCATTTTTGGAATTTTTTAACCAAAAAAAAAATGGAACATAATCAAGCCTTTAATTTTAAGACCTTGAAAATTTAAAATAAAGATTTTATTCTTTTAAGCAAAAAATTATTTTTCCTTTATGGATCAGAAACATATGCACCCACTCCTTAATGACAAAAATTGAAGTAACTGTGGATATATGAGATCGGACAATATTTTGAGTGTAAGTTACCAAAGTTTATTTAAAAAGTAAACTTCTAATAAAAAGATTTTAAAACAATAAAATAGTTATATATTTTCTTCTTGAAAATTTACCCTAATCATTGAAAAATTTCACTCAAAATCTGCAATATCAAATAAATATGTAAAACCTAATACCTAAAAAAAAAAAATCTATAGATATATGTTAAAAACAGAGAAACTTAGCTATCAGGCTGATTTGTTTTCTTTAGTAATGATAGCACTCAATACCCTCCGAGGAGATAAGATTCCCATCTGCAACCATTTACTTCCGTTCACCAAGGATGCGCAGAATGTACAAAAACAGATTGAGGATGTCCAGGTACAGGTTGATGGCCGCCAGGATGTATTCTTCAGGCGAGAGTTTGGCCATCAGCATGTGCGTGTCCACAACAATGAAGATACAGAACAAGGCAGCTCCAGCCAGGCTGATACCCAAGTGAAAGAATGGAACCGGAAGGATCATCTGAAGCCAAAATAACAAAAGGTGAAAGTACTGAAAGTGCCGGGATTGTAATTCTGTCTTCAGATCATAGGCTAACTTTTAAGATTGTATATTTTTACATTAAATTTAATTCAAGGATGAAAGTAATGAAGTTATTTTGCTTAAAAATAAAAAAATTGAAATATTTCTTACATTGACCAGCATATTTAACTTAAAATTCTTGAATGCAAAATAATAAAGTCAAATGTTATGTTATTAATTACTAGAGATAAAAACAAGTTGTTTACCTGAATAAAGGAAGCCAATACAAGAGCATAAAGACACATGACAGCTCTGTAAATAAAGTAATCAGTACAAGCTTTATACTAAATAATACAGGCCATATGAGTCATCAAGTAAATAACAGACAAATTCATTACCATTCATGAACATATTTTTCATTCTAGGCAACCTTAGTGTGAGAATCTTATCAAAGTTATTGACAAACAAAATTAAAGATTTAAAGGAAGGCGTTTTAAAAAATAACAAAACTTTAAATCATCAGTTACTCTACTCAATACTCACGGAGCATGCCATGATGTGAAGTCCTTCTTGCTTTGTAGAGTGTATATGGTCAGGCCCACGGTCAAACCAATGGTGAGGAGGAATGCTTCAATCACAGATGGCACTTTGTAGAAGGTCACTGAAAATAAAGCGCATTTTTTACGCTGTATAGTTATAGCTAAACCTTTAGTGTTGTACATTTCACCTTTCTTTGGGTGTACTTTAAGGGTCCTGGGCTAGGTTTGGTGACCCTTTAATGATAATAATTATGTTAGAATCCTCAAGAGATGACATCTTTAAAGGGGATAAATGAAGTTAATGGCCAGAATGTTAACAAAGAAATTACATTAGCTTTACTTACCTACTACGCCAATGGCATAGGACTCCATCAGAGTCTACAAATAATAATTGACATCATAAGTATGAAACATTCCAAATGTATAAAATTATATAAAATTATAAGCATATTAAATCTACACATTTTTTTTTCAAAGATGTAAAAGAATTGGCATATCATTATTTTCTGGTTCATTATTGGAAATAAATAGAGAAAAAAACATTTTCTGACCAGAGACAAAAAGGACTCAAAAAATGAAGCAAACTTTTTAAAAGCATGAACTATAGAGTTATTATTTTTTTTAAACTATTACCAGAGGTGGGTCAATGTAAAATAATTATGTTAACAAAATATTTTATAGTTACTTAAGAAATTTTGAATCTTAGGAAAAATAATACAATACTTATTTTAGTTCTTTTGTAATGGGTGAAAAAGACTGGCGTGTATAAGTCCATAAGAAAAAAAAAACCCACTGCGGTTTAAACTTAGACTGGTGTGTATCAGTGAATAAGGTATAAAACTGTCTGGTTTAAACTTAGACTGGCATTTATCAGTGAATAAGATAAAACAGTGTAGTTTAAACTTAAACTGGCGTGGATCAGTGAAAACAAAAATAAAACTGTGTGGTTTAAACTTCGAGTGTGTATTAGTTAATAAGATAGAAAACAGTTTGGTTTAAACTTATCAAAACACATTTCTAGAATAAATTTTTATATATTTTAGATCTGTTGGTCAAACTTTAATTAATATTGTTTTCCTGAAGAACAATTGGTCGTTGGAGTGGTTATTAATTTCTTCTTTTACTTACAAAAATTCCTAGGAGAATATAGTTGATTGGTGTTTCATGCCTCTTCCACATAAGAGCAAAAAGCACACCAAAAGTGGCAAAAATGCTTAGTGTTAGCATCCAGTGACTGAAAATTTGTAGAAAGAAAATAATAACATGCACAATTATTATCAAAAAGTTTTTGGACATTAATTTTGAATATTTCAAGGTGATCAAACAGTCATCACTTTAAAAAAATGAAAGGCATTTTAAATCTTCAAGCAAATACCAAAAATACAAAGAATTGGTGCTTTATTCATTTTGAAAAGAAAATAAAGATATATATTTATAGTTTTTGGGTCTCAAGGTTAAATATTATTTAATGAGATATTGTTCTAATTGTACTTTTTAGAACTATCTTTTACTCATTCTCTGATATACAAAGCATACTTAGTCTGCACAAATTCCTGCAATGGCTCGCTCATCATGAATAGTGCAGACATGATTGTGGTTACAAGAAGCTGTGCTGTGAGGATGCCATACACTTTACGCATAAATCCTGTAGGAGTTAGAATTTTGTCAAAGATCAAAACAAGTTTAAGATGCATTAAAAGAACTGTTTTATTGGGTCTGACAAAAAAAAAGAGAAGATTTCGAGACAATCTTTAATGAGCCATACTCATCATTCAAAAAAAAAATATCCAATGAGATCTATGACCATATTCCATAATAATATCCATAGCATATAACGAGAGACAGCTTTTTATTCAAATGTCATGAACAGATGAATAAAATAATCAATCTCATTTCTTTTTTAAATGTTTACAAGATAACTTATTAATATATAATCAATCAGAAAATAGAATTTAATATAGCCTTTAAGTCCTAAGGAAAATAAATTATTAAAATAACATTTCTGCACAAACATTTCATTTTTATGATGATGAAGACAAGCCAATGGTGACTAATTTTCTTCAGATTCTGAAAGTATTTCTATAACTATAAGAAAACAATGGAAACAGCTAAATAATCTTTTTAAATCTTGTTTTTAAAAGTTGCTACGTTCTGACTAATTGGATTGACTGGGTCTGAAAGCTCTTCTGTGCTGGAATTCTAATTTCTTTGTTTACCAAGCATGAACAGTTCAAAGTTATGGAAACTGTCATATTTCTCAGCATGTGTCATAAATTGTTTTATATATTTATGCTTTATTTCAAAATTTTCGTCATATTTTAATTTTTATCTAAATCCTTTTAAAATCCTTTATATTAACGTCACTTTTGTTTGTGTATTACTTTCTTTCTGTTTGGGTATGTGGCAAAATGTTTGGACAACGTATTGACCCACTTCCCGTCAAGCTATTGAACTAAAACTTGACACATAAACTCATACCGATGATTACACATTTTACAATATTTTCTTTTATTTTTCTAAAAAAGCTGGTGTAATAAATTTTAGGTTTAGTAAAGATTTGTACATAGATTAATTTCTGTGAGGAGCACTATTTTGTATGCGTCTGCTTTCTTGCTGCTGACGTCAATTACGTTTGCAATGATGATGGCAGTTATGTTAACAGAATTTCACTGTTAAAGTAGAAGTAGTGTTAAAAATTGACCTCCAAAAGTTAACATCGATTCATTATATTAACATCATTCAATGGGCAAGCATTTTCTTAGCAACAAGGCCAGGCAATGTCTTCAACAGTATATGTCATGAAGGTTTCCCATAGTTACGTATTCACACCCCCGCCCCCCAAAAACAAATTATGTTGAAATGTCCCATGATATTGTGACATGATAAAAATGAATCGTGTACATATACTTCTTTATTTCAACCAGTAAAAAGACAGCATTTTTAGCAATCCTGCCAGGAGCGGAAATTTTTCCATGGGTATTCATCTTGGGGTATCAGCAAGGATGAATTTCTTTTACTATTTCTTTTGACTTTTGAACATCTTATGTTGAATTTTAATAGAACGAATGGAAAATGTCAATTTAATATTAACCGTATTGATCATAGTTTTGTTTATGCTGCGAATAATACTCGATGAAAAATAGCGAAGTTATCATACTCATTATTACTCATTAGGGGGATAAATTTGCCTAAGTCCTGTATTGGGAATCCCCAAAGTGCTGTCACTGTACTTTAGGGGAGACAACCCTTAGCAAAACCCATACTGCTAAGGTATACTATATTAAGTACAAATTAACCTTACTACCCTGCTTTTTATTTTCAACAGTTCTAACAAAAAAGTTTAACAAAATCTAATTGGGTAATTTATGGGGAAGACTGCCACTATTTTATTGAATTTCACGAATGTATCCCTAAATCTAGATACTTCGATGAAACAAGGGAGACTACTACTTTTTGTGTATCGGAAATGGGCGTTAGCGCCGAAAAATCAGAGTTTTTAATTTTCCGATGTGTGTGTCTATTTATTATTAAATTTGTTCTTTCGACATATATTTGAGTTCCGTTTCCGGCCTTATAATTTGGAAGGCATCTTGGCCTATATTTCTAGCCAGCTATTTTGCTTTTTTCACTAAAGGTCCTACATTTCTAGCCAGCTGTTTTGCTTTTTTCAATCGACCTTTATTTTTAAAATCTTTAGTATATATAAGGCATCTTCGCATACAAAATTTATTGTGAAATAATAAGATAAGGCCCTTTTTGATTAAATCTGTATAAGCATTAGATATTGATCTATATCTGGGCCAAGTTTCATTGATGTAGGTTGTGTCTCACGTTCGTTACGCTTCTCACAGTGACCCATATCACCATAAGGTGGCTCAGCCTAATTTCGACATGGCCGGGGCCATGTCCATTTTAATGGCGGAAGTTGCAGATACTTAGGAAATATTTAATTATTACCACTATATACATCAAAATATTTTATATTTTGTGTTTCAGAATGCATTTTGAAGACATTTAAACTGGAATGTTTTAATTTGAGCTTTAAAAACCCTGTAGAGTCCATATTATAAATTATCAGAATTTTCCCTGTGCAACACGTTGCCATTGGCAAACATTCACAGCCTCTTGCATAGTGGCTATATCGTAGTACTATCTCAGAGTTTCATTCATAAGAGTTTGCCGTGTGCAAAAACTATTAAACCATTGGTCAGGGAAAGCTTTAATTAATTATTCATGTGCCAAAGTTGAAAGTTTAAAATAAGTCGACCCTAAACAGTAATTTAGTGATAAAGGAATGCGTTGCCTTATATAAACTATATAGTCATTGCGCATGATGCGATAGCGGAATGAGGTCGCAGAATGTGGAGATGCAGTCCATGTTAAAAAAGGACAAACCAAGTCGTACTTTCAAAATTCATAACTTTAAAACTACAACAGCTAATATATGATTTTGGTGTTATAATTCTGTAAAAAAATTAGCTCTATTCAACTATGCCATTGGTCATTGGTTTATTTTTACAAAATGTTTAAATTTTTGACCAAGTCCAAAGTATCTACCTAAATCGATCCCTATGCCTAACCTGAACCCTAAATTGATCCCTATGCCTAAACTGAAACCTAAATCGATCCCTCAACCTAACCTAAACCCTAATTCAGTGCAACTATAATAAACACACAAAAGACGCGGTGGCAGCTGTCCTCAGAATGGCCGCATTTTCCTTCACTATTTACCCCTAATTGAAATTGGTTTAAGTTTAAGCCAAAATAAGTATGGAATTAAAAATATCCCAAAAATAACATGGTCAATAAAACACCCACATTGACTTCAGGCCAGCGCTTGCAGTGTCACTCATTCGATCATTAATGAATGATATGTCACTACTGACTGACTACTACTACTGACTGCAGTTTTAAACCCGGTAACTTATAATACAGAATTAGGAAACGTTACATTACATACCCATTCGTATGTATATATGAGCGGATGCCACATTTGATCCATACATGAAATCGTCAACAATACCACCTGCTCCATATTGTTTTGGTGCGAAAGTAGGAGCAGATAGCCCGTTAACACTGTTTTGTTTTTGGGACGCCATCTTTTCTGTAATAAAGTTTTAGCGGAAGTGGTCTATTTATACATTAATTTTGTTCTCATGTCTATTTCTACACAATAGAAGGCAATTTCTCAAATATTATTAATTTATTTTTTCAAAATGAAAGAGAGAGAGAGAGAGAGAGAGAGAGAGAGAGAGAGAGAGAGAGAGAGAGGGGGAGAGAGAGAGAGAGAGAGAGAGAGAGACAGAGAGAGAGAGAGAGAGAGAGAGAGAGAGAAAAGAAAGAAAGGAGAGAGGGGGAGGGAGAGAG